CACACACTGAGTCAATGAGAGCTCACATCCTCTGCTCAACACTCATCACTAGTTCTTCCAGAGAACAACAATCTGAAGGAGGCTGAATTATTAAAATGAAATCCCATGGATAGTGATCAGACCTTATAACATGATTTCTCTCTCTCTCTGAAATTGGTACAGTCCCCATGTTGCCATCAAAATGCAGCTTTTATACATGTCTTTCTCTCTCAGGGTCTATGTCCTTCTTCTTAAAGGAAATGTCTCTGTGTGTGAGCGTCAACAAGCACAAGGCACCCATTCAAAATGTCTCGGCAGGAGATATTTTCTAGTTTTCCTTGCAACCTATAAGCGAATATGTAGATGTTGGACCTCCCTCTTTCCAAATTGTCCCTTCAACAGCTTCTTCAACTGTCCAGGTTCCACATTTCAAATGTGACCCAACAACTAATCAGCTCATTGATTATGATCAGGATCAATACAGGTTATAAAACATCCCAGAAGCTTATTTCTACATTGATTCAGAAAACAACAGCAACATTAGTTCTTTCAAACACATTCATGTCAGTGTCATTATAGATTCTGTCTTTACAAAGTGAAAAAATAAAACTGTTCTTCACTCATTCTTGTCACTTTTCTGTTTCCCTCAGATAATAACAGATATTTGTTTGCTGTGTTTGGATCCAGTGTGATTTCCTGTGGATATTTTAAGACGTCAGCTCTGGTCTGGGGCTCTGGTTGTGGCAGTAAAACATCCACTTGAGACACAATCTGTAAAATCTTTGTCTCTGTCTCACTCAGAATGTCCTGTAGTCGACCTCTGACCTGTGACACAGCTGCTGTCACGTCCTCAAAGTACCTCAGAGGACGGATACTGATGCTGGATGAGTGTGTAGATTCACTGAGTGACAGTGAGGGGGGGTAGTTGAGTAGAAACTGGATGTGATCCTCTGTGTGTGAGAGCTGCTTCAGTTCATCGTCTCTCCTCTTCAGCTCAGTGATCTCCTGCTCCAGTTTCTCCTGAAGCTCTTTGACTCGACTCACTTCAGTTTCCTGCTGGGATCTGATCTGCTGCTTCACATCAGAGCTTCTTTTCTCCAGCAGACGGATCAGCTCAGTGAAGATCTTCTCACTGTCCTYCACTGCTTTATCAGCAGAGCGGTTGACGGCCTCCTCCCCCTGTTGAAGCAGCTTCACATCATTCTCTCTGTCCTGGAGTCTCTGCTGGATCGTTTGTCTCCTCGGCCCGAGCTCTCTCTGCCTCTCAGTCCTTTCTGCTGCAGCTGTGACTGTGTCGTGGTCTTTATGTTCATCCACAGAGCAGAGATAACAGATACACTGCTGATCAGTGCGGCAGAACATCTTCACCTCATCGTGACGAGAGCAGATGTTCTCCTGGAGCTTSTCGGAGGGCTCCACCAGCTTGTGCTTCTTTAACGGAGGTGACTGAAAATGAGGCTGGAKGTGTTTTTCACAATAAGAGGCCAAACAAACCAAACAGGACTTGAGAGCTTTCAGTTTTCTCCCAGTGCAGACGTCACAGGCCACATCTTCAGGTCCAGCATAGCAGTGATCAGCAGGAGCAGCTTGGAGTCCAGTCTTCTT